GTGAGTTCAAGGCCAGCCTAAACTACATAGGAAGACCCTGTCTCAAAACAAAACAAAACAAAACAAACAACAAAGGCATTAAATATTATCCTAATTATTAAAAGTTAATCTGGGTCAAGACAGATCACAAATTTGAGATTACAAAGTTTCTACAGAGCCATTTCTATAAGACAAAGCATTAAAACCCTCCCCCCCCCATGCCAGTACCTGCCCTTAATTCCAAAAGCAGTAAGATGTGACCCAATCAAATGATATCAAATCACAGGCCATCTGTTCAAAGAACACTGTATTATGTAAGCTATGGTCAAGAGAGAGCAGCAAAGGGAAGAGAGTTTGTTTGCCAACATTTGCAAATGTTGGGACACAGTGGTTTGGGGAGCCATGATCTCACATCACAAGGACCATCTATAGGATAACAGCATTTCAAAATCAATTTCAATTACACATGAACAAACCTGATATGACACAAAGGTATTGTATTAAAACAACAGTACTAAGTCTAGTTAATTTTGAATCAGACCTAGAACATTCTAGCAGAGGCTGCCTTCCCCACTGGAACAAGATTTACTTCCCTTTTAATTATTTTGATCATGTCAGCTGCCCCTCCCTTTAATTTCAAAAGCAAAGTAGTTAATACAAAAATCTAACCCTGACCAAGGTCTTTTAATTACACTCTAATTAAATTACACCTTACCTACCAAAGCCATCTTCCAAACAACTATGAGCCCACTGTTCTCAACAAATAAGTACTATACAAGTCCTTTTATCACCAATAAAAAGGATACTTGTTTTCTTCTTGAGTACTTTTAACCTATCATCATTCTCCCTCTCTGCTCACTTTTCATGAACTCTGTAAATGTGACATTCAAGATCAACTTCATTTAGGGAACTCAGTCCACTAATCCTGTTCTTCCCTCATCTTCAGATCTTTTACATTTCCCAGTGTTGTACACGGCAAAACATTTGGAATCAGAAAAAAGTTTCTACCTCAACTCTGCCCTTGTGCAACCCTAATCTGAGTTGCCTTTTTTTTTTTTTTTTCTGAGACAGGGTCTCACTACACAGTTCAGGCTGTTTTCAATTCAGGGCGATCCTCCTGCCTCAGCCTCCCATGCACTGGGATTACAAGTATGCACCAGCATGCATTTTTTTCTATCTATAAACTGAAGTGATAATATACCTGTGTACCTAGCCCTGGTGGTATCCCATTATGTTATTCTTCCTCACTCAACACACTTACATTACCTTTCTGTTTTGTTTCCAGCCACATATAGACTTTCTAGGACTGGGGGAAAATTACACAAGTTAATACTGTACATCCAAACTCCAGTATGAAACAAGGAAGCTAACTCTGAACAGCAAATTGCTAATCAGTCAATAAATAGTTTCTTGCCCTGAAGTAGGCTCAGGGATAGTGGGGGTCATAACTTAAACAATTATAATATTCATTAAATCCTCCTCCCTGCCTGTCTGAATGTAGCAATCCTTTAAAGTCAGTTAAGTCTGAAAGCGCCCAGCAAGTTGCCTCTAGTCACTTCAGCCTACAATATTTCCCTCTCTGAATATAATGGCCTCTCTAAGGGGGTAGTAGTAAAAATATCTAACAACTAAAAAAATTATTTAACAACAGCCCTTACAAGGTAACTGACCAATCAAAAAAGGTATTTAACCAATCAAAATACACGTGGCCCAATGTGAATTGCTAAGTGAACACCAATCTCACTTACTACTAACAACACAAATTGCAACCTCAAGTTCAAATACACAGTTTCTCATTTGATCTTCACAATCTTTTGAATTAAGCAAAGTAGGTTTCACCCGAATTAAATCTACAGATGACTTTGAGGCTGATAACAAAATCGAATAACTACTTCTTTCATCAAAAAACCACACAATTTTTCCTGATTATATATAGAGAATTATAAAGTACTATTGCATAACCTGTACTTAACACAGAACAGTAGGATGCTTAGTGAAACAATTAATTTAATCAACAAGCACTCACATAAAACAGGATTAAAACACAGTGCTAGGTTCTGAAGCCATAAAGAAAAAAAAAGACACGACTCTTGCCTTCTGGGTACCTCACATATACCCAAACTATACTTAAGTAACAGTTCAAGCTAGCAGAAGTGTACAACACAAACTGTAAGTACTACACAGCTCAAGGAGGTAAAGAGTTCGAAGAGAACTAAAGCAATACAGGAAGTCAGGAAAGAAAACTACTCTTCTCAACTCCCACAAGAGGCACAAAATTAAATTACATAGTGAAAAGGCTGAACAGTCAGGAACCAGTGGGAAAACAGAAATCAATGGATTACAGTGGTGAGAAATGAGATCTATGTTTGGATACTCGAGATGGCCCTAATCACAAGCCTCCAGTGTTGCTCTAGGGCAGTGATGGCAAACCTGTTAGAGACTGAGAGCCCAAACTTCAACACAAAACCCAGTTACTTATCACAAAGTGCCAACACTACAATTAAACTTCAATACTGAGGTTTTAGTTTAGAAAAAAATAACTGTTATCCGATGCTTGGCCACTGGGGGAACTTGGCTCTGTGCGCCTGCTGTGTGCCACAGGTTTGCCACCACTGCTCCAGGCACTAACGACAAGTGGGAACCTTATAAACCTTTATCAGGATGGCCCAGGAAGATTTGCCAGTAGCTCATGGAAAAATCTAGATGAGGAACACTGGAAAGCAACTAAATTTGGAAGGTAATAGGCAGGACTAAAATGATGGCTGCATATCAAGAAAGAAGGAAGAGCTGGATTTTAGTTTTCAAACAAAAAGGTTGTAACATCACAAAAAGGGGGTAAAAAAGCATTTTCAATGGGATATATACATAGACATAATAGTACTAAACTGTACAGCAGGAACAAGGAACTAACTTCCTTAGAGAAATCTATGTCAGAGAGAGCCGAAGCTGGGTAGAGAAATTAAAAAATGATACACAATAAGGAATACTGAAAGTCTTAAAAGGGCAACAGGGAGGGAGAGAGGGAGGGAGGGAGGGAAGAAGGAAGGAAGGAAGGAAGGGAAGGAGGGAGGCAAGCAAAGGAAGGTAGGTGAATTTTCTTCAGAATGTATGAAAAGATGGACTGAAGCATCAACATAACCAACCAGGTGATGCAAACAAGGTGAGACAACCTGGGCTTCAAGTAATACAAGCATCCACACCAGCTTTGTAAAGTGCCCCTGTGTAAACTCCTCCAGGGCATAGACTTTGCCATGTTCTGACATCCAATTAAGGCTGCTACTGATACTTAAATACACAAACACTTCCTGCTCTACCCTAGGTGGACGAGAGAGATGAACTATGTTATTCAAGTAGAGTGTGAATACGTCTGATGTATACTGATTCTCCCACTTGCCCAGTTATATGGGCTCCTTCCTTAATCCAAGGGGAAAAAAGTCTATTGTTTCTTCTAATGTAGGCCCATGCAAAGGGACTCAGAAATGTGCGAGGAATCAGATAAGACAATTTGATACTCAAATTGTGGGAGCAAAATCTAAGTCAATAGTAAGCATCAATAAGTTGCTCATCAGACAGCTGAAAAAGAAAAACAGGCTATATTAATTTAGTATGTGTATCAGGCAAGTGTGTAGATTTTGGAAAAAGCCTTATATGTAAATCCTAACTTCGGCATTTAGTAATTGATTTCTCCTGCACTTATTTTCACACCTATAAAACAGGCCAAATGCCATCAGTCCTGAGGGTTTAGTTGTGAGGATCAGATAACGTACTTTGGTATTTTATGTATTTACATTATACAGTAAGCTCTTAATAAAAAGCAGCTATTAAGATCACTAATAATTGGCACCTCCAATCCAGTCCTGAGGGCTCTCACCATTTGCTATCCAATTTCAGAAACAGAAGCGTACTTACACTGTATTTCAGTTGCTAGTGCTGAGCCTCTATATTTTAGCTTCTCGTGTTTTAGCTCTGTTGCTAACAAAGTTTTTTTACTGCTCTCTTCACCGGAATAGATGACAATCATTTTATCACAATCTGATTTAATATTTTGCAAAACCGTGCAATGTTCCTTGAAAACTAGCCACATAGACGTCTGATCCTGAACTACTGTCTCCCAAGAGAAGAAACATCACGAGCGATGTTCCTTCGAGGAAATAAAAGCATCTGATCAATTCACAGGATCATTCTCATTCAAACATTCCAAAGCCCGCAGAGCGAGCAAACGTTCAAGTTTCTACTACAAAAACAATCCGTAGCCTTCTGGTTGCTGGACTCACTTCAACGCTTCCAGATTCAAGAAAGGAGAAACATTCCGCGCATCTCCGTGCCTCCTTCTCACACAAAGCTTCGCAGCTCCGCTTTCCAAAGCCCGCCTGGCTGCAGAAGCAGCCCCCTCAGCAGGTCGGACCGGCCGGCGACAAAGCCCAGGGCAGCACTGCTGACCCGGGGTCCCGGCCACACTGAGCCCCCTCGCTCGGGAGGGGGGCCCCCGGGTACCGCCCGAGGCTCAGAGCCCACATCCGGCCGGGGAAGCGGCCACCGACTCCAACCCCGCCCCGGGACCCGGCAGCCCCAGGCCCGGGCCGTTTGGAGCGGGGACACTCGGAGCAAGGCCAGTCCCCGCCGGCCTCACACCTCGGCCCTCGCCCGCTCCCGCCCCCGGGGGCAGCCCCGG